AAACCCGCACCTGGGCGTACCAGCATACTCCCGGCCCACAACGCATTCTGACCAGGATTTTATGTCGCAAGAAAAGGGGGCGGCTCATATCCCAATGGACGCGTTATGGACTCGCACCTAGGCCTGCCGTCACACCCCCAATGTTGGCGTTTGTCATGGGCGTGCATTTCCAACAACGCCTGCCGGACCCCGATCTAACCCCTGTGTTGATCCAACGCATCTACCGCGTGGCCCGTTCTGTGGGCTGTTGCATCCCAGTGCCGTGCCTTGAGCAATCGCCTCGAGCATTGCATTTTTATGCTGCCGGCTCAGCTCATGACCAACTTTGTTTTGCCGATGACGGCGTTTCGTCCCTTCCAATCCATAACCGAATGATTAATCCCATCCCCGCGCTTTTCCTTGCGACTGATCTTACTTCGTTATCATCGTCTCTTACTGTATTAGATACTGGACCGCTTGCCATAATACGAACGAGAAGTATCATGTCTTCCTAACTACCATCTAACTAATAACATCCTCCGAATTTTTCAAACCTTGTTTATCTTTTGCTAGGCCAGAGTACATTGACAGACAGTACAAGTGGCCCTTCGCAGTCGCCATCCACACTGTATACATTCTAATAGTAGCGAGAGTCAGATTCCGATTTTTGACCAAACGTTCATAAACTTCGATCGTTTACATTAGAACGATATGATTTCCTTACTCCGCTCCAATGCCGTAATTGTTGAGATCCTGTATACAGCCAGGTTTAATCAACGACGAGACAGTAAAGTGATCAACATGAAGCTGACTGGCTTATCGCTCATGTACAAGGGGATGCGGGTCTATAATTTATTGCTAGTTTTAACTGTCCTAGAGGTCACATGCCTCTCTAGAATCCAATGGTGTTAAGTTATTTGAGAACTCCTTTGCTCCGTTAACACGGAGGAATATGTTCTACAGTTTTTACGTCCCTGTAAGCCACCTTTTGAGGCCTGCCTCCTGGCTAATGCAAAAGTTCTTATTGAATAGCATGTATGGCAAATTTCGGGTCAATCGTTCATACCATTGCCTCCTTCGATTTTCAATCTTATTGGTCTGTTTACGTTAGGTAGGTTGACTCCGGTCGACCTAAGTTTTCGGACTTCTATAAGTTCGTGCAAAATTACTGTATTTTCACTTCAAGAGGTAATCGTGCATCGTTATCTTCCGCATTGCAAAGTCCAAAATTTTTGGACATAAAAACAAAAAGACTCGCTTTTTTCCTCACTTGACTTTAACCTCCCTCATCTACCTGAAGGCATAATGATTTATTTGCGTTTGAAACCCCCTCTTATTCTTGTTCCACCCACATCACGAGCTCCTTAATCTTCAGCCTCCCCGTAGGCTTCTCAAACCCAGTTGCCGTCTTCTTCATGGAGTTGATCATCCAGCTGCTGGCCCCCAAGTTCTTTCTCAAATTCGTCCGGAAAAATCTGCTGGCTGTTGAATTCCCTGCTTCTTCAGCGGAGGAGGGCAGCGCCGATCAGCCACGATCACTAGTCTCTGTTTTGGCCGGCCACTCCGTAGCCTGCAGAATTCTGCGTTCCGTCGTGCTGAGCTTCAAGAAGTCTCTAGATCTGGAGGCCTTCCTCAAGGCGCTTACGCTGCCTGGCTCTACCAGCGTCTCGGGCTTGCGTCAGGCCCTCGATTGTGGTCAGCATTACTTGCTAACTGCCCTCTCTGCGGCCTGCCTTAGGCTTCCCACTGAACAAGTGCAGTTTGCCTTCGAGAAGGTAGATTTTTGCTATTCCTCCACGCCGTGCTTGATTTGACTTCATGTTTGACACCTCGGAGGCTGTTATGCCATCTGTTTATTTTTTGCCAACACCTAAGCAGGGATTTTCACATATGGCTCGGTTCTGGTGGGCTCACTTTATTTCAAACTCCCGGTGCCTCTTACGTCGCATTCTTGACTTTTTTCTTGCCCCACCTGGCACCTACTGCAACTGGAATTCTAGCCCCCTAGGGTTACTGACCTTTTTCTTTATTTGACGGGACTTTTATTTGCACCAGCTTATTTCTGTGCGGCTCGCCACATGCCTGTACTCGTTGCTTGCACACTAGACGCCTAAGAATTCCGCGCGCAAATTTGCCTAGTGAATACTTGATGGCATTCCGAGCACACGTGTCGCCTATTTTATCGGATCGCGATTATGCTGGCGTTATACTACAAAGCGCACGTGAATCCACTAATGGGCCAAACCCCTGGCATTTTCATTATCCATTTGACGAAAACCTGCGAAACACTTGTCTGAGCTTTTACCCACTACTTGTGTTTGGAGCGCGATTAAACAAGTGTGTGTGTGTGTGTGTACATCACACGCACACGACAGTTTGACCGTGGTTACCGATGATGTCCACCGTGTGCTTCAGGGCAACGTGAGAGCAGGGACGGTGACTTGGACGTTAGTTAGTAGACCTGTACAGCACCTACCGCACTCCCTCCCCCCCCACCCAGCCTGGGTCCGGTGTCTTGATTGAGTCAAGAAGACCAGCGGCGGGAGACGGTGCAGGTGGCTGGGGCGACGCGAGTCTGTGCCTTGGCGTCCCACCACCGCCCCATGTATGGAATCTGTTGTGAGGACGCAGTCCAGTAGCGATCTGGCCCCCCTGTTAGTCCATCGCAACTCCAGCGTGGCCTGTTGTGTGCAATACTCACACTACTCTTGGTTTGGTAGGCGCGAGAATAGGCTTTTTTCCGCTGCAATTTTTGCAGCCAGCTCGACCTGCGTCCGACAACTCTGATTACGACGACTTAACCCTATGCCGGGGAACAATCCGCCACAAAATTTCAATAGGTGAGCAAACTCATGAAACACCGGCTGCATTTTTTAACTATGACCTTAGTTTTGGAAAATATTATTTAGGTAAGGTCGCAGTTCATGATTTCGAAGTGCCTAATGCACACCCGGCTGTTGACTTTTTAATGGGTACTTTTTCCAACAACCTCCGTAAATCACTCGCCAAAAAATGTCTACTT